ACGTACATTGAACGTCATTGTTCAAATAAGTGTGTTTCACCTAAAATTAAAAAAACAATGTATATTAGCACCGATTAAATAAAGAAAATGACAAGTCATTGTAATGGTCACTGAATCTCGATTCAGTGATGTGAATCGAGATTCACTTACTTGAATCGCGATTCACTTCATTGAATCGGGATTCACTACAATAAAAATAGATTAAATTTTTATTGTTTCAAAAAACGCTATTAAGTATTACCTCAAATATTTTTCCATGCCTCCTTTTGTCCTTTATGGAAAAAATCTTCACACCATCTTCTTCTGATATACTGTTGATACTCATATCATAACAGGATGACATTATCTCTTTCTGTACCTCATAAAACATTGTTCGAGTGTACAACTCTGCTGCATCCCTCTCCAATAACAATGGCCCGTCCATTCTTGGCATCGACTTCGTTCCTTCATAGTTTAATCTTGCGTTTGTATGCCTTTGCTTCTCCATAGCACTCTCGTATCGGAGATAAAATTCTGTCAATGTGTCAGATCTACGGTTGAATTTGTCAAAAAAACTATTCTCACTCTCTGATATTGATGTAGTACGCAATAAACCACCCAATGGATCATCAGCATAATAGGCTGGAATCCATGACTCCCGAATGTTATACAGTTCACACAACCATTATTACTTCAGAGCTTATATTCTTTCATAACATCTTCTCCAACCTACTTCAAATGTTGCTGGTCTATTATTATTTTTTACACTCCAATCAGTGCATGTCTTCGTACTCTTTGAAAATCATCCAATCTTCGAAATGCATTTTGCCAAACACTACAAATATAAATATATAACGAAAATTCGGTATTACATAATGAGGAATTCATTATATTTGAATGCATGATTCATTACCTTTTTGGGTTAAATATTTCTTCATTATGTGCACATGCACAAACGGTGACGTGCTTTCTCGTAAAACAAGTTGGTTAGCTTCGCTTCATGGCAGGGCACTGACTGTAATGATAACTTTGTGCGATATCATGGCATTTCATGGAATACTTCAAAAATCCATACATAGTTATCAATGTCCTTTTATGCTATCAATCCAAGCTGCCAAGATACAACACACTCTTATAATGTCGAGACGGTTTAAAGTGGAACAAACTTCAGTTGTACCATATTGTATCACATACAAAAAATTATAAATGTTCACTATGATATATAATTACCAATATTGAAAATAGTAAGGACGATAACTATAAATCCTTACTTTGTTTGTGACGAATATGTAGAGCTTTCAAATGATATCACATCTCAAATACATCGTAATTTCTCGTCGACATATAACAATCTGCCCCAAAAAATGCGACCGGTAATCGACCACCTTCATCGAACTGCATAATCATAGAAAAAAACTCGCATCACTCATCTCTTCTTACCGTAAACTTTCTCCGCATGATCATTATGAGCATCTCGATGCACCAATATAAAGCGTTCACATCCCGACTCCAATTTTTAACTCGGGTACAAGTACCAACCCAACATTAGAATAACTTCCACACAACTCGTTAAGCAAAGTTATATGTTTTGTTAGGCCCCATGTTGGCTTTTGCTCCATCAAATACAAGTTTCTTATGTGCGAGACTGAGAACTCTATTTGACTTCAAAAATTGTTTCCCACTACCGGAGACCAAAGAATGAGAATGCTCTTCGACAAATGAGAGAACATTATATCCTTTCAAACCATCAAACTTAAATACGACCTTAGCTTTGCAACCACATCTACTAGATACAGTTCTCCTTCTCTTTTTCAAAATGCTACTAGACTCATCAATATCAACATCCATCTTTGATTCATTGCTGCCAGCTCTACTGCAAACAATGTGTTTAAGAAGAACTGTACCGTCCTCATGTTTCTTCTCCGTATGCCGTCTGATCTCAAACCCACTTTTACGTCCATACTCTCGGTAAAACTCTATACCATCCTCTAGTGAGCGAAAGCTTTGGTTTAGATAAGGTTTAACTTCAGCTTCAACCCGAGGTTTCCAATACATACCACCACCTGGTGATTCAAAAGGAATAGAGCTAACTTCGTCCATTCCATCTTCTCCAAAATCACTGTCCGATGCATTTATAACATGTGGTATGTAAATTTGTTCATTGCTGCCTACAACTGAAAATAAAACACCATCAATCATATGTGTTGATATACTGAATCTGGATTTACCGCTATCCATTTAGATCAAATGAAAACATCTTACAATATAAAAATTACTTGACTTATTCTAACAAGATCAAAGAAAATGGAAAAAATTTAAAACCCTCACTTTCCTAACTGAATCGAGTAGATTCACCCAGTGAATCACGATTTACATAACTGAATCGAGTCGATTCACCCAGTGAATCGCTATTTACAAAACTGAATCGAGTCGAATCACCCAGTGAATCGCGATTCACTCAACTGAATCGCGTAGATTCACCCAGTGAATCTCGATCCACTCAACTGAATCGCGATTCACTCAACTGAATCGAGTAGATTCACCCAGTGAATATCGATCCCCTCAACTGAATCGCGATTTACAAAACTGACTCGAGACGATTCATCCAGTGAATCACGATTCACTAAACTGAATCGAGTAGATTCACCCAGTTTATCTCGATCCACTCAACTGAATCGAGTATATTCAACTAGAGTGCATATTGTATAATCCAGACCACCAATATTTACCACTATCCATTTAGAACAAATGAAAAAATCTCGATTCAATGCATCAAATTCTCCATTTAAAACTCCATAAAATGTTTAAGAATGTAAGCTACAAGATAATAAGTCATATGACTAAGTTTTTAAATACTGAATCTAGTTCCATTACAATGAAAAAAACTAGACCATGCACACCTGAATTCAAGCTCTCCATTTCAATCTCCATAAAATGTTGAGCAATGTCCAGCTGCTGGACTTCGAACAAGAGAGCTGAAGAACGATGAATGAGAGCTACTGGACGTTTTCTCGATGAACGAGAGCTGAAGAACGATGAACGATGAACGAGAGCTGCTGGACGATTTCTGAACGAGAGCTGAAGATCTGAAGGACGATGAACGAGATAGCTGCTGGACAATTTCACGATTAAAAGCTGCTGGACGATGAACGAGAGCTGATATTCGTGACTGTTGGGTTGCCTGAGACGTAAGATTGCACGGGGAAATGGAGAACTCAACAGAAGCATTAATTACCTCTCTTTGGGTGCTGTTTATTTTACCAGATTACCCTCATGCAGCTTTAATCTCAGCCATTGGATGAATCTAGATCCAATGGAGAGGAGAGGTTTTTAGTTTTTACGATAGTGAGGTTTGTATTTGAACCTCTCCCTATATATATATATATATATGGTTGCATAATTTCCCAGCAGTCTTGTGTCTCCCAGTTATCACCTTGGTTATATACACTAGAAACTTGAAAACGATAATAGCATGAGAAATCTAGGTCTTTGTTCACTAGATATACGCAAATAAGCTCTACCTGAATCCAGTGTAACCAGATATACGCAAATAAGCTCTACCTGAATCCAGTGTAACCATTTGTTCGTTTAAGACAAATTTAAGTATGATTTGGTAACATTTAAGTAGATCCCAAGTAGTAGGCCTGCTTACAAAGTCTCAAGCTCTTAACCCGCCCATAAAAGATATTATCGGAATATGTCTATATACTTGGGGAATGTTTCAGCGGATCTCAAGCACTAGGCCTAGCTACGAAGTCTCAAGTCCAGAACCGACCCATAAAAGATATCACTACCCATCCCAAATTCCAGCCCACAGTAATTTTTTGAGAAAAAACAACGAAAACAGAAAAAACACACTGCTTAATTATTTGTTTTTCGGTTTGACGTGAGAACTTCTCCACAATCTGGGTATCAAAGCCCCACGTAATTAATTAGAGTTTTGTCGAGTCTATCAAATCTTTAACATTATGAAATTATTCTCTCAAACTTCTCCAAATGTTATAATAACTTACCTATTCCTCTATACTTAAAAAGAAAAACCCAAATAATTACCGTTCATACTACAGTAAATACTGCAGCACAGACAATAAATCAAACCTAGTACTCTGCAGCTGATGTTTATCATAGAGTAACTTACTGAAATATAAACAGTAAATTAAATAAAAATATATTAAAACTTGGATCATTCTTTAAGTATAGAGGAGTAGATATGGTTTTCTAAATCAAATGCATTAAAACTTGGATCATTCTTTAATAAGTATAGAGGATTAAATATAATTTCTAATTGTAAGCAAACAATAATTGCATTAAATATATTAAAGCTTAAAAGGAGTAAAATTCAAAATACGGTATTAGAAAAACGAAAGGTCATGCTTTGCACGGGGTGCACACTAGTTCTTTGAATAATAGCAATAGCGGCCACAAATGATTTTAAGGACCAAAAAAGTGATTTCAATTCGAGGAACCAATTTCAAAGAGTAAGGGGCTGTTTGGTTGTTGTTGGTAAAATTGTGTATTTATGACACAACTTGGAAAGTTGTTGTCCACCTCATCAATTTTACTTTTATACTTTTCTTTGTTTGTTTTTTTATTCCATTGGAATCATAAATTGCTTGTTTGGTTTGCAAATGTAATTTTAATTGTTTGTTTGGAAAGTGTAAAAAGTGGTCCCTACTCAAATGATCATATTGGTTGGAATTATTTTTTATTATTTTTCCTGACTTTAATATCAGCTTTCTCCAAAAATCATGTCTTTTGTTTATGAAATCACTTTACAAGCCACATCAGCAAATGAAATCACTTTATACTATTTTTACAACCACAAATAAACAATTGAAAGTGATGAAAGCTAACATTGAGACCCACTTGTTTACACTTTCCATACTTTTACGTGGTGAAAACATACAACCAAACAACCCTAAAAGATGTAAGGGGCTAAATACCCAAAAAAAAACCAACACAAAAAGGAAAAAAGGTGCTCCTCCCGAAGTCTCCCCTTCCCCCAAAAACGAAGTACTCCCATGGAGCGGCACATTCACCGCTTCCTCTCTCAACCGCCTCTCCTCCGCTCATCGCACGCTGTCGCCACCCTCTCCCTCCTCCACCTCCTCTTCCACAACTCCTCCTGCACCGCTCTCCTCCTCCTCCCATTTCTTACCTGGGCCCTCCTAGCCTTGTCCACGCTCCATCCCTCTTCTTCTCTCATTCTTTGGCGACCCCCCCCCCCGCTCCTCTCCCCCGACCGCCGCTTCAAAAAGCTCTCCTCCACCTCCTTGTTCAAGAAACGCTCCCACTCCCTCTCCCTCATTTTCGAAACCCTAAGTTCCCTTCACATTCTCTCCAACTACTCCCACGTCCTCGTCCTCTCCGCCGGCGCCGGACACGCCGTCGTCGCCCTCCACTCCTCCGGCGTATCCGAAGTCACCGCCGTCGACATCGTCGACTTCCCGCCGTTTGTCAATAGAGCGGATCCGCATAATTTGCCGTTCTTTGATGGAGCTTTTGATCTCGCGTTTAGCGATGGATTGGATGGGGCGTTGTTTCCGGCGAGGTTTGCGGCGGAGATGGAGCGGACGGTGAAGAAGGGAGGGGCGGAGGCGGTGGTGGTGGAGGATGTGGAGGGGGTTGAGAGGTTGTTTCGAAGGTCGAGCTTGGTTGAGGTTAGAAATGTTACTTTGGTTGGATCTGAGATGAGTTTGATTGTTATGAGGAATAATGGGAATCCTCCTTGAAAAATTCCATTCCATTTGCATTCAACTATTCTTTGATCACTTCTTCTTTTTTTCTTATGTAGATCTGTGCTTTGTGTATTTATATTTGATTTGATTCTTGATGTTTATAGATTTATGTGCATTCTTCTTATTACGAGCGCTTGTAGATTTTGATCAGAATTTCTTTTAGTTTATTCAAGTTCTGTTTATAGCATTGATGCTGAGGATCCAACCTAGTTCTAAGACTACTACAAATTGTATGGGTTTGTGTAGTTAATTATCTTTGGGATATCATGTTTTCTCAATTCTCACCTTTCGATTCTTTGAAAATCCACTATGCTAATTTTGTGTGTTAAAAAAATATCAAGGGAGAGAATGTATCGATCATTGACCTATGTTCATGTGTAACTTTTATGTAGAAGAGTAGCCATGGATCAGTTACACTTGCAATTGAGTTTACTCTGGCACCATAAGCACAGCAAACAATAGGAAAGGAACAAAATCAAATAAAGGTGCAAAATACAATAGATGATTAAATTATGAAATAGATGCTGAAATAATAATGAGGAAATGCTGTCAAATCCACTAACTAAACTCTTATCTGCAAAGAACATACTAGTAGACTGACCTAATCAATCGATCTAACTAATCCTTTCAGATCACTATAATCAACTAACTCTAAATTTTTTATCTACATAAATAAAGAAAAATGTAACTGATCATAATTGACTTCAATTTTCTCATATTGTTTTTTGGAAGAATTTCCAGCTTTGTACTATATGGGCATCACAAAACTTCTGTAAAGCCTCCATCCATCGCATTTCATTCCCGCTTGAAGGAAATTAATATACTGAGGTTGTCGACTACTTTCCTTTTTGAGCTTATTGATGCCCTTTGTCTCATTTTCCACTTTTCTATTTCCTTCAATCAATGTCGACATTTTTACATCACCACCACTGCCTATCATCTTGACCTTCGAGTGTTTGTGCCATGAACCCACTAGACTGTAGTCTTCTGTTCGGCACAGTTCGGCGCAGTCCATTTTCTTTTTTATGTAGCAGATTATAGCCAAGAAGGTCATCATTGAAATAAGTATAATCCTAATACAAAACCACTATTGAACATCTAGTAACCCCTTTTTTTGCAAAATGGCCTATTATGTATATAGAAGATTTCCTTGTATACCAATAATTTTACTCCCTTTACTTTTAAACCCACATAACTCTCTATGTTCTCATACTTCACTTACCTTTAAACCGAAAGTGAAATACACTAATGTTTACATACTATAAGGTGTATAGCAATATTATTTAAAAAAATGATGTATTAACAATATACTATAAGGTATATAACGATATACTAGATGATGGCCCATACCTAACTAAAACAAAAGCTTATTTTGGGTTTTTTTGAAAAAACCCCTCCACTATGGGGGTGTCTCGGAAAACCTCCCTTAACTATTTTAATTCGCGTGAACCCCCATCAAGTTTGGGGCTATTGTGGATAACCCCCTCAACTTTAAAAATTTGAGAAAACCCCCTTCACTATGGGTTGTCTCACAAATTCCTTCTATTCTTTACTCTTCTCTCAAAAAACTTCATTGACGTCATTACTTAAAAATGTGAAATGACCTAAATATCCTTTTGAAAGAAAAACCATTTTAATTGAAATGAAACCCCCAACTAGTAGAAAAAGACCCTAAGTCTTTGTGAAACAAAAGCTTCCTTTCTTTTTATTATTGATTGAAATAAATTTTAATAGGATAATTTATAGCATATTAATTGTAAAACTTTTATTGCATGTTCTTATTTCACATAATTAGATATATGAATATTTATTATGCATTGTCATATTTGAACACATTTTTAAGTGATGCATAGTATGCAATATTTTAAATATTGGTTATTCGAAATATATATGACGGGTAAAATTCATATCAGATCCTGATAATGCATATATAATATAATGTCCTAAAATATAATCTAAGCACATTTAATGAAATATTGAGAGAGGGTTTTCGATAGAGGTCGTCGATAGAGGTTTTTGAGTGAAAGGGTAAATTGCACTAAAATATCGTATGTTTCACTCATTTAGCACTTATATAGCCTCAGTTATTTTTAGGAGCATTTATATACCCGAGTTGTTTAAAATTAGCACTTTAGTACCCTTTGTTATGCAAACATGAAGATTTTCATCCGAAAGTTTTTATATAACATTCACATATTAATTTTGGAGCTTTCTAGTCATTATTATTTGTTACTGTTAATCCCACCCAAATTCTAATCTAAATATATTTTGATTCTATTTGAAAAATAAAATTTTGATAGATTTAACATTGAGTTCAGCAAATTTAGTTAGAAAACTTTAAAATAGCAATGAATATTATAGGAGAACTTTCGGATAAAACTTTTCATCTGTGCATAATAGATGGTACTAAAGAGCTAATTTTAAACAACTCAAGGTATATAAATGCTCCAAGAACTAACTGAGGGTATAAAAGTACTAAATTAGTGAAATATTAGGTATTTTAGTTGAATTTAGCCATTATGAAATATGAAATTACAAATCTATAATGACAAATATCATTTTCCTGAACATTCCCCTGATTTTTGCAATTGAAGATATTTTTGGATAATATATAACTCAATGATCATAATTGGAAACTATTGAGTATCATTAAAATCAAAATTAAGACTCCGTTAATATAAATTTTTATTTAATGATTACAATTATAGTTAATCTAAGAAATTGGAATTCCATTTAAGATAACATTTGAAACATGTTTCATTTAATCTAATAAAATATTAAGAAGAGACAAATATTTCTACATCTATTTTAATTATTGGCTTATAAGGTGAGATAATGAACATAACAGGACATTGTTGACGTCAATAATATTTAAAAAGAAAGGATAAGTTTGTCATAGATAAAGCATGATCTCAATTCAAAATGTAAATTCTATCTGAACATGATGAAATAAATGCATTGAAATGTATCCTAAAATGACAACGATCAACCTTAAATGGTTTATTTGCTAAATGTAAAAAGTCTAGGACCATCAGAAACCTGTATCTAGCAAAATCAAAAGGCCCATTTGAGGGATAAATAGTCAAAATTGTCATTGAAAGAAGAAAATATATGCAACTCCATTATAGTTAAGAAAGTAACTTATCAAAGAATCTGAAGCAAACATTTGAGTAGAAGATTTTACCCCCTTGCCAAACATGCCTCCTAATCTATCCTATTTGCAAATTTGACCCCCTCGCCAAACATGCCTATTTGCAATAATCCTATGTTCCATGATGTCTCCCTAAAGATATCCCTATCATCTCACACTGTGAATTTTTCTCTATTTGATGTAGATAAATGAAAATAGACAGATTTATGGGTAGAAGATGCAAAGGTAGATTTGGAGGATTATAAGTAAAAAGAACCAAAAAGAAAATCAGAGGCATAACATCTAGTGTTGGTGGTGCATACTTGTATCTTTGAGCTTCATCATATGTAAAATCAAGGATCTCAGTCCCCTTTCTATGCCTTCTTGGTTGAGGATCATCTTCAACAAAGAATTTTGATGGCTTTTTAAGCTACAACATAACAAATTAGATCAAAAAATTTGTTGAAATGTTTGTCTTCTTATCAACAAAAAAGTGCATCAATGGAGAATGTTAGGATTCAATTTAGAAGCTATCGCTTTAAGTGATGATATATCTTTCTACCATCTCTATTTTCTTTTTCAGATTGTCTTCGAGTATCTCCGACGCGAGTGATTTTATTTAAAAAAAAACTTGGCAACTATATCATCTTCATTATCTGCGATTCTCTGAGCATATGAAATAAAATTTTGTTGGATTTTTTGATTTTTTACATTAAATTAAGATATTTGGTCAAAGTCATAATATAATATATCAAGCTCCTATCAATTGTTAGTCTTTTTTTTCTTGTAGGTAAATTACAAACCTTAAGCATATCTATAAATATGGTTTATCACATTGAGTTGCAGAAATTGGACATCAATATGTTGTCAAGGAAAATAGAAATTGAGTTATCAAGCATACAAAATTGCAATAAGAATTTAGTAATATTGCCAAATTTTATAATGATCAGAGAGATAACTTACAGAGAATGTGTTTGTTAGGACTTAAGGCTAAAAATTGCTAGTTCGTTGATGCAGTTACCCTCAAATTCCTCAAAATTTTGTTTTAAGCCCATCAATTTCAAAACTAATCTAAGGAAAACAGAAAGGAAAATTTTCCATCAATTTACAAAATATTCCAAGTAAGGTTTGCAAAACTATGAGCACATCACAAATCAAAATTTAAGCAAGAAGAATAAATAATAAATAACTTTTCTAAATAAAAGGAAAGTTGGGATTCACAACATTTACCTCATTATCTACCTTTGAGACAAATGCATGATTGTTTGGCTCCTAAACATCCTATTAGACCTCCAACTAGGGAAAAAAAGAAGTCAACATCCAACTGGAAGTAGAGTAGGTGTTTATGTTGTAATTAGCCATTTCAGAATAATGTTCTATAAAAAAATTGAGCCAACAATGTAGGTTTAACATTCTAAGATATAGAAAACACATAGATTTAGTTAAAACTAGATAATCAATCAAAGTTATTTTGCTATTTTTAACTATAAAAGAAGTAGATACTTGAGTATTGCTTCCCTTTTTGTCTGTAAAATTTGAGTGAGTTATATTCGAACCTAAATCAGAGAGGATAACTAAACACACAATATCACTTGAGTCTTGACCAATTGATATGATTAGAAGTTCAAGTTTTAAATTAGAAAAGGAAATAAATTAGAAAATTACCATTATCTCATCTAAGATGGGCTCTCCATCTGATTTATAAAGGAAATAGGATGAATTAAGATTTGTATAAAAAAAATCAACGAATCACTGGTTTTGGAGAAAGAGATATTTTTAGGAATTTTGTTTCATACTATTATAAAAGTGTGGATTTGGGCTTCTTCTTCCATTGGTGTTCCAATCTGAACTTGGAGTTGGAATCTTCGTCTTCTTCAAAGATAAGGACCTTAATGTCGAAGCACGGTCCGTTACTATATTCATCT